GTGTGTAACAGTCCATATTCTATACTTCCATCCATAGCAGCTATAGGTACTATAATTTTTGAACGACAGGTTGTAATGATCTTACAGCAACTTGACCAAATAAATCAAAAGCGAATCGAAAATTCAAATTAGTATGGGCTAAGTATAGGCTATTTGGTTGCTAATGCTCGACGCATATTGCTTTATTTCCTTTTTCATATGTCTTATATTTTAAGGTAATAATTTATTAGTATGCTAGGCTTTCCACTAACATCAGTTACCCTCATTGAGCCTCAACACGTTAAGGACAAGACAAACCCTTATCCAGCAGGCATCTTAGTATATATATATATATATATATATATATATATATATATATATATATATATATATATATATATATATGCTTAAGTATCTTAAGTATCCATATAGGAAAAGAAACGAAAATTCCTAACGTTTTCGTGTTTCAACACATTGGTTTCGTAACTTGGAAAAAACAACATTGATACCAATATTTGCATAGGTATGGTGCATTGTCTAAAACTATATTGCCAAACTGTTCAGAAAGATTTTTGAACGCTTATGAAAAGATGATAAATGTAAAATTTCGTTACCAAAGCAGGCAAATCAAATGCTACTGCAATTTTGAACAAAAAATAACTATATGGAAGAAACTAATTTGTTATTCAGTGACTATGATATATAAAGTTGACCAAGAATCCATTGAATGCTGTCAATAATAGTTTTAACCAAAAATGAAGTTTGTTGAACGGTAATAACCTAATAAAAATTATGACAAGAACTCCAGTATTACTTTTTATGTATGACCTGATGAAAACTTATACACCTAATCATCCAGTCTGGCCAATATTTAGTTCAATAGGTTCGGTGTCATATAAAACTTCAAAATAGTTAGTCCAAGTTTTAAATCCTATTGCTGGTAACGTTTCCAAGTCAAATATAAAGAATAATGTTGATTTAGTTGATACATTATGTAGTAAACAAGACCTCTATAATTATAAAATGGTTAGCTTCGATGTAGCTTCTTCATTCACTGAAGTTCTGGTTGATGACTTACTAACATTTTATCTGATAAACTGTTAAAATATCATTTGCCCCTTCCTACTTTAACTGAATTGATCAAACTGTATTATTACCGTTATTAACTCAAATTTTGATTTTAATAATGAATTGCGTTATCATATATTTGGAATGGATACCTTCACTCAAAGCTTCAGTCTGCCCGAAACGCTTTGCGTAATAGTGGCTTTAGGCATTGTATGTTCTAGCTCTATCTATAAATCTATCAATTTTTGTATCACCTCTTGTATGTATGTACTTTACCTGAATAAACGTTTGAATTTTTTTAATTTGATATGCATAACTCTCCGATTTTAAGCAATCTATATGTAGAGTTCCATGAAACAAAACTATTAAGTAGAATTGGTGCCCTCTAATGATACATGGTTTCGCTATGTAGAGGACGTGTTTTGCTTACGGCCTAAGAATGAAAATATTAAATATTCTATCCCCGTCCATTCAGTTTACAATGGCAACCGAGCAAGCCAATCCTTTACTCTTCTTAGATGTGTTAATTTATAATTTCAAGCTTTCTGTATCATGAAAATCAACAAATGAACATTAACTGATGTTTTATGCACACTTTTACTCATTTCATTATTAAAGAGGAAAACAAGCTGTATTTTCTTCAATGTTTCTGAGAGCTGTAAGGCTATGTAGTCCTGAGTTTATAGATAATGAATTTAGTTTCATACACAGTCAAGGTTTCAATATAAAATACCAAAAGTCTTTTATTGATGATGCTATCCAAATTGCTCGTAATGCTTTCTTTAAATTCTATAACTTCTATACATTTCTATAAAGAAATAAATTTCTTTAAATTTCTTTAAATTTAAATTACATTCTTTAGTTTAGAAACGAATGAATACAATATTAAGAATACAATAATTCGGTCATTTCATTATACCTTTAATTAAATGCCTGAACTACTAAAACAATTTAATATCAATGTGGCATTTAGGAATCTTGATACCATAAAAAACTTATGGTTAAAAATTCCTCAAGTAATAACAATGGTTGTGTATAAAATGCCATGTCAAAAACTTTAATAAATTCTATGTTGGCCAAACAGGTAAACATCTTGAACAGAGAATAAACGAGCACAACAATAGTATAAGGACAGGTCAAGGGGTCCAGTGCATTGTTTGTTCACTTAAGTGATTGTAACCAGTCTATTGACTCGACTAAATCATGCAAAATTGTTGAGTGTCAATCAGTTGATGAAATAAATATTAATGAATCTTCATTTATAAAAAAGTTGTGAATTAGATAATATTAATATAAGTCCAGGATTATATAAATAGCTTTATAATTTTTAAGATCTGTGATAGGTATAATATTATGTAAAGAATAATTGCATGTTTAGTATTCCAAGAACTAGTGACTAGTCTGTCCCCTATTCAATCATGTCGCTTCCATTATTCGATATCTTGTTTATGGATCTTAATCTACTGAGATGTAGGGGTTATATAAGCCACAACCCATGTCTTCTCTCTCTGTCTGAATTCTTTAATAATGTGTTGAAACACGAAAACATGAATTTTTCCTTATGTGAATACATATATGTATAAATATATATATACAATAGTCTTAATCCTTTCTTCTTCGTCTGACATTTGTCACTTTGTTCATCTCGTGTTAATTTCTTCGTGATTTACACACACACACACACTCATATATATATATATATATATATATATATATATATATATATATATATATATATATATATATATATATATATATATATATATATATATATATATTTATATATATTAATTATTCCTAAACGTGTAAATTGTATTATAGAAATGGTAATATATTCGTATATTTTATGTTTTTTGTTTACTTCTTTGGGTTATATTAAGTCTCATGCGTCATAAGAGTCAAGATCAGCCACTGGCATGAGGACAGATGGCAGATCAACTATTAACAGCACATAAGTCCTTATCGCAGATATATATATATATATATATATATATATATATATATATATATATATATATATATATATATATATATATATATATGCAAATTGTCTGTGTACCTTTGTATGAATTTGTTTGAGGGCGCTGACATGGCGGCGAAGGTGACCTTCACCAAGAACAGCAACCAAATGAATTAAATAATTAATTTTGGTGACTACAACAAGTGTGTGGAACATCAAGTCATTTTTTTTTTCTCTCAGAAAAATGGGGTGATTGCCAACCCGCACCTTCACCAGGGCACGCCTCCAGTATTCCAAAAATATGACATCACAAATGTATATCTTTCAGTGATACAGCGTAACCATTTGTAAACCCAAAGTGCCACTAACAACGCCCCCAAGGCAATAGCCCGAGTGTCACCACACTTCAGCCTGTTTGGCACTCTTGGTGGACAACCCAAGGGTGAAAAAGCTTATGTCAATAGGGGAAGGGTAGGCGTGAGGGGGGTCACTGGAGTCTATATGGGTGCCAGAGGCCGTGCGGGCTCCACCACTCTTCATTAAAAGTACCTTTCAAACAAATTTTGCGTCTCCATTGAAAACAAAACATGAAATTTCACTCAAAACAGCAGAAAAAATTCGCAAATTTGGATACTGAGAGTTTTATCATATTATATAATTCACTAGGGAACAATTTTGGTTATTATTAGGCTGTAAATTTCCTTATATATATATATATATATATATATATATATATATATATATATATATATATATATATATATATATATATATATATATATATATATATATATATATATATATATATATATATATATATATATATATATATATATAAAGACTTGGCTCATTTCTTTATTTCTCCTGTAAAGATAGCTAAAGGGTATTTGTACAAACATTTAAAATAATTTTGATTACTAAATGATACTGTGATCAGGGCCTACGATAAATAACTATATAATCAGGAACAACCGCTAAATAACCTAATGAATCAAAATTTTTGTCTACCCCTTGTATTGGTATAGTAATATACGTTGAAGTAGATAAGCACTACAGCTGATGTCAATATATATATACTGTATTTAATACAATAAGCTAAACCTGAGGCTGTTTCTCGACATATGGAAGGGGTCCATTGGCGGAGGCATTCGTGGCACTTGGTTGCAGCACCAAGGCTACCGTAACACGTGGTGACGGCACCAAGACCACCGTAACACGTGGTGACGGCACCAAGACCACCGTAACACGTAGTGACGGCACCAAGACCACCGTAACACGTGGTGACGGCACCAAGGCCACCGTAACACGTGGTGACGGCACCAAGACCACCGTAACACGTGGTGACGGTTGCCAGGCCACCGTAACACGTGGTAACGGTGAACAATACTACCGTAACACTTGGTAACGGCAAACAAGACCACCGTAACACGTGGTAACGGCTGCCCGGCCACCGTAACACGTGGTAACGGTGAACAATACCACCGTAACACTTGGTAACGGCAAACAAGACCACCGTAACACGTGGTAACGGCTGCCCGGCCACCGTAACACGTGGTGACGGTTGCCAGGCCACCGTAACACGTGGTGACGGCACCAAGGCCACCGTAACACGTGGTGACGGCACCAAGACCACCGTAACACGTGGTGACGGTTGCCAGGCCACCGTAACACGTGGTGACGGTCGCCAGGCCACCGTAACACGTGGTAACGGCTGCCCGGCCACCGTAACACGTGGTAACGGCACCAAGACCACCGTAACACGTGGTGACGGCGAACAAGACCACCGTAACACGTAGTGACGGCGAACAAGACCACCGTAACACGTGGTAACGGCACTAAGACCACCGTAACACGTGGTAACGGCTGCCCGGCCACCGTAACACGTGGTAACGGCGAACAATACCACCGTAACACGTTGGGAGATGGGGAAAGGGGGGGGGCAGGTAACCGTGGGGGCGTTGTGGCCAGCACCTTGCTCTCTCCCGCTACTTACCCAGGACAAGCGTGGGCCAGCTCTCCATTCTGGCCGAGAGCCCCTTCAAGAAGATCTGATGCAGGAAGAGCAGCGTCTCAGAGTTGAGGAAGATGCTGTTGACATCTTCGTGGGTGCTTGGGGGTTTCTTGCTGGAGGCGGCCATTTTGAAGGGTCGTAGGAAGCAGGACACCAAGAGATTGAGCTGTTCCACGTACTCCTCCTCGGCCTCCACCATGCGGAATACAAGGCTGAAGGAACACATATTTACTTCTATATACAGTCAATCAGCTGCATGTTCAACACTTCACAAAATAGGTTCAAAAAGTGAACATTTGGTTGTAGTTATTTGTTTCATGTGGGGGAAATTATTACATTATTTCCAAAGATAATAGCAGTTGATATAAGTAGTGTATATATTTGTTCAAATCATGCTGTTAAACATAATCGGAAGAATCAATTTTAACAGGGTTATGTTAATTTAAAGTTAAGAATGAACCTATTTACCCTTCGCTTCTTAACAATAGCTACAGTAAATGGTTGGGTTCATAGGTACACAATTAAGCAGGAATTATTTACATTTGTACATTTTATTTTCAGATTTTTTCTTTATTAAATAATATACAATATAAAAATCATATTTATATCAATTTACAAAGGAAATTACTACATTTTTAGACAATATGAATAGAGTTATAGAAATAATAAAAAGCTTGTGTTCAGAGGCAAGGTATGTGACATGGCAGCTTGTGATTGGTGAAGAGTGGTGGGCCAGGCGAGAGCTTGACCAATCAACTGTCAGGAGCGGGGACGACGACCCCCCACGCCCCACAGAGGTCATTCCCTTGAAGTCACTTGGCCTGGCATGACATCCTCCAGCAACACTGCACGCGCGTGCACGGAGCTTTTGACAGCGGCCCCGAGCGTGTTAATGTCCCAGGTACCTAAGTTTGGCTCACCGAGGGGTCATAAGTATCAACTCTAGCAAGCCAATTCTTAAGACGTTACTGGATGACGCATCGCTACCACGTGGTGCGTCATTCATATCTACGACGCACGGATGCGAAAATCTGACGTAGATCAAGTCGACGCACAAGAACCTTTAAGGGCAGCGCTATCATCATCACTACTATCTGGAGGACTAAGGTATTGTGAGGTTTCTTGTAAGGGGAATTGTTTGTGTCATCAGTGTGTGTTGTGTCATGTGTGTGTTGTGTCATCAGTGTGTTGTGCCATGTGTGTGTGTTGTGTCATCAGTGTGTGTTGTGTCATGTGTGTGTTGTGTCATCAGTGTGTTGTGTCATGTGTGTGTGTTGTGTCATCAGTGTGTGTTGTGTCATGTGTGTGTTGTGTCATCAGTGTGTTGTGTCATGTGTGTGTTGTGTCATCAGTGTGTTGTGTCAGTGTGTGTTGTGTCATCAGTGTGTTGTGTCAGTGTGTGTTGTGTCATCAGTGTGTTGTGTCATCAGTGTGTTGTGTCATCAGTGTGTTGTGTCATCAGTGTGTTGTGTCAGTGTGTGTTGTGTCATGTGTGTGTTGTGTCATGTGTGTGTTGTGTCATCAGTGTGTGTTGTGTCATCAGTGTGTGTTGTGTCATCAGTGTGTGTTGTGTCATCAGTGTGTTGTGTCATCAGTGTGTTGTGTCATCAGTGTGTTGTGTCATGTGTGTGTTGTGTCATCAGTGTGTGTTGTGTGATCAGTGTGTTGTGTCATCAGTGTGTTGTGTCATCAGTGTGTTGTGTCATCAGTGTGTTGTGTCATCAGTGTGTTGTGCCATCAGTGTGTTGTGTCATCAGTGTGTGTTGTGTCATCAGTGTGTTGTGTCATCAGTGTGTTGTGTCATCAGTGTGTTGTGTCATCAGTGTGTTGTGTCATCAGTGTGTTGTGTCATCAGTGTGTGATGTGTCATCAGTGTGTGTTGTGTCATCAGAGTGTTGTGTCATCAGTGTGTTGTGTCATCAGTGTGTTGTGTCATCAGTGTGTTGTGTCATCAGTGTGTTGTGTCATCAGTGTGTTGTGTCATGTGTGTGTTGTGTCATGTGTGTGTTGTGTCATGTGTGTGTTGTGTCATCAGTGTGTGTTGTGTCATCAGTGTGTTGTGTCATCAGTGTGTTGTGTCATGTGTGTGTTGTGTCATGTGTGTGTTGTGTCATCAGTGTGTGTTGTGTCATCAGTGTGTTCTGTCATCAGTGTGTTGTGTCATGTGTGTGTTGTGTCATGTGTGTGTTGTGTCATCAGTGTGTTGTGTCATCAGTGTGTTGTGTCATCAGTGTGTTGTGTCATCAGTGTGTTGTGTCATGTGTGTGTTGTGTCATCAGTGTGTTGTGTCATCAGTGTGTTGTGTCATCAGTGTGTTGTGTCATCAGTGTGTTGTGTCATGTGTGTGTTGTGTCATCAGTGTGTTGTGTCATCAGTGTGTTGTGTCATCAGTGTGTTGTGTCATCAGTGTGTTGTGTCATCAGTGTGTTGTGTCATGTGTGTGTTGTGTCATGTGTGTGTTGTGTCATCAGTGTGTTGTGTCATCAGTGTGTTGTGTCATCAGTGTGTTGTGTCATGTGTGTGTTGTGTCATCAGTGTGTTGTGTCATCAGTGTGTTGTGTCATCAGTGTGTTGTGTCATCAGTGTGTTGTGTCATGTGTGTGTTGTGTCATCAGTGTGTTGTGTCATGTGTGTGTTGTGTCATCAGTGTGTGTTGTGTCATGTGTGTGTTGTGTCATCAGTGTGTTGTGTCAGTGTGTTTTGTGTCATCAGTGTGTTGTGTCTTGTGTGTGTTGTGTCATCAGTGTGTTGTGTCATCAGTGTGTTGTGTCAGTGTGTGTTGTGTCATCAGTGTGTTGTGTCATGTGTGTGTTGTGTCATCAGTGTGTTGTGTTGTGTCATCAGTGTGTTGTGTCATCAGTGTGTTGTGTCATCAGTGTGTTGTGTCATCAGTGTGTTGTGTCATGTGTGTGTTGTGTCATGTGTGTGTTGTGTCATCAGTGTGTGTTGTGTCATGTGTGTGTTGTGTCATGTGTGTGTTGTGTCATCAGTGTGTTGTGTCATCAGTGTGTTGTGTCATCAGTGTGTTGTGTCATGTGTGTTTTGTGTCATCAGTGTGTGTTGTGTCATGTGTGTGTTGTCATGTCATGTGTGTTGTGTCATCAGTGTGTTGTGTCATCAGTGTGTTGTGTCATCAGTGTATTGTGTCATGTGTGTGTTGTGTCATCAGAGTGTTGTGTCATCAGTGTGTTGTGTCATCAGTGTGTTGTGTCATGTGTGTGTTGTGTCATCAGTGTGTGTTGTGTCATGTGTGTGTTGTGTCATCAGTGTGTTGTGTCAGTGTGTGTTGTGTCATCAGTGTGTTGTGTCATCAGTGTGTGTTGTGTCATGTGTGTGTTGTGTCATCAGTGTGTTGTGTCATCAGTGTGTTGTGTCAGTGTGTGTTGTGTCAGTGTGTTGTGTCATCAGTGTGTTGTGTCATGTGTGTGTTGTGTCATCAGTGTGTTGTGTCATGTGTGTGTTGTGTCATCAGTGTGTTGTGTCATCAGTGTGTTGTGTCATCAGTGTGTTGTGTCATGTGTGTGTTGTGTCATCAGTGTGTGTTGTGTCATGTGTGTGTTGTGTCATCAGTGTGTTGTGTCAGTGTGTGTTGTGTCATCAGTGTGTTGTGTCATCAATGTGTTGTCATCAGTGTGTTGTGTCATCAGTGTGTTGTGTCACCAGTGTGTTGTGTCATGTGTGTGTTGTGTCATCAGTGTGTGTTGTGTCATGTGTGTGTTGTGTCATCAGTGTGTTGTGTCAGTGTGTGTTGTGTCATCAGTGTGTTGTGTCATCAATGTGTTGTGTCATCAGTGTGTTGTGTCATCAGTGTGTTGAGTCAGTGTGTGTTGTGTCATCAGTGTGTTGTGTCAGTGTGTGTTGTGTCATCAGTGTGTTGTGTCATCAGTGTGTTGTGTCAGTGTGTGTTGTGTCATCAGTGTGTTGTGTCATCAGTGTGTTGTGTCATCAGTGTGTTGTGTCATCAGTGAGTTGTGTCATCAGTGTGTTGTGTCATCAGTGTGTTGTGTCAGTGTGTGTTGTGTCATGTGTGTGTTGTGTCATGTGTGTGTTGAGTCATGTGTGTGTTGTGTCATGTGTGTGTTGAGTCATGTGTGTGTTGTGTCAGTGAGTGTTGTGTCATGTGTGTGTTGTGTCATCAGTGTGTTGTGTCATGTGTGTGTTGTGTCATCAGTGTGTTGTGTCATCAGTGTGTTGTGTCATCAGTGTGTGTTGTGTCATCAGTGTGTGTTGTGTCATGTGTGTGTTGTGTCATGTCATCAGTGTGTTGCGTCAGTGTGTGTAGTGTCATCAGTGTGTTGTGTCATGTGTGTGTTGTGTCATGTGTGTGTTGTGTCATGTGTGTGTTTTGTCATGTGTGTGTTGTGTCATCAGTGTGTTGTGTCATCAGTGTGTTGTGTCATGTGTGTGTTGTGTCATCAGTGTGTTGTGTCAGTGTGTGTTGTGTCATCAGTGTGTTGTGTCATGTGTGTTGTGTCATGTGTGATGTGTCATGTAAGTGTTGTGTCATCAGTGTGTTGTGTCATGTGTGTGTTGTGTCATGTGTGATGTGTCAAGTGTGTGTTGTGTCATTAGTGTGTTGTGTTATCAGTGTGTTGTGTCATGTGTGTGTTGTGTCATGTGTGTGTTGTGTCATCAGTGTGTTGTGTCATCAGTGTGTTGTGTCATCAGTGTGTTGTGTCGTCAGTGTGTTGTGTCATCAGTGTGTTGTGTCATGTGTGTGTTGTGTCATCAGTGTGTTGTGTCATCAGTGTGTTGTGTCATGTGTGTGTTGTGTCATGTGTGTGTTGTGTCATCAGTGTGTTGTGTCATGTGTGTGTTGTGTCATCAGTGTGTTGTGTCATCAGTGTGTTGTTTCATGTGTGTGTTGTGTCATCAGTGTGTTGTGTCATCAGTGTGTTGTGTCATCAGTGTGTTGTGTCATGTGTGTGTTGTGTCATGTGTGTGTTGTGTCATCAGTATGTTGTGTCATCAGTGTGTTGTGTCATCAGTGTGTTGTGTTATCAGTGTGTGTTGTGTCATCAGTGTGTGTTGTGTCATCAGTGTGTTGTGTCATCAGTGTGTGTTGTGACAGTGTGTGTTGTGTCATCAGTGTGTTGTGTCATCAGTGTGTGTTGTGTCATCAGTGTGTGTTGTGTCATCAGTGTGTTGTGTCATCAGTGTGTGTTGTGTCATCAGTGTGTTGTGTCATCAGTGTGTTGTGTCATGTGTGTGTTGTGTCATCAGTGTGTTGTGTAATCAGTGTGTTTTGTCATCAGTGTGTTGTGTCATGTGTGTGTTGTGTCATGTGTGTGTTGTGTCATCAGTGTGTTGTGTCATGTGTGTGTTGTGTCATCAGTGTGTTGCGTCATCATTGTGACCTCACTTAGTTGCGCTTGCGGGGGTTGAGCTTCGGCTCTTTGGTCCCGCCTTTCAACCGTCAATCAACTGGTGTACAGATTTCTGAACCTAGTGGGCTCTATCATTTCTATATATAAAACTGTGTATGGAGTCTGCCTAAACCACATCACTGCCTAATGCATTCCATTTGTTAACTACTCTGACACTGAAAAGGTTACGTCTAATCTCTCTATGGCTCATCTGGGTTCTTAGTTTCCACCTGTGTCCCCTTGTGCGTGTGCTCCCTATGTTAAATAAATTGTCTTTATCTACCCTATCAATTCCTCCGAGAATCTTGCATGTAGTGATCATGTTCTCCCATAACTTCTGTTATCCAGCGAAGTGAGGTTTAGTTCCCGTTGTCTCTCCTCATAGCTCATACCCCTCAGCACGGATACTAGTGTGGTGGCATACCTCTGAACCCCGTCCTTGTACCATCAGTGTGTGCAAGAGAAACGTCCAAGCTTCATGATAATTTCAAAACGACGCTACCCGCCCTTGCAAGTTAGGCAATGGAATCATGTTTTTTAAATAGCGAAATGTCAACTCAAATACTTTCCTTCACTTATAGTACGAAATATAAGTATTTCAGGGCATAATGGCTGAGACATTATGAGTACGTTAATATCTTTGATTTTGAAATGTCATCACAATCACAGCCACTTAATTAATTAACATATTTTTTAATATATTTATATTTTTGACTGCCTTAAGCTACATTTATGCTCTCCCGCACTCTGGGGCGTGATTTTTCAATTAAATTTCGTAATCCAGGAGTTGAGAAACTGCGCTTTTTATCTAACAAACATATGACGTACCACCGCGCACGGGATGGGAATGGGGTGCATAATAAATGACTAAACTTACTAAACTTCATACTCCAGTTGAGAGTCTAAGATCATGATAAATTCATTGTTTACAATTTGAGAGGATGGCCAGAAGTGAAGTTGCCAGATGGCTGTTAAACCTTTCTAAACTGTATTCGTTGGTGAAACACAACAAGTTCACTTGTCTATGTCAGATACTATTAACTCTGACTAACTGTATTAGTGTAGGAAATATACGAAAATATTCAACACGAAGCGAAAATTTCGTAGCTAATGAGGCTACGCTCTGAAGTCCTGACGGGAGTGGTAGGAATGGCTAACCGCTCATCAGCCCTATAACGGCCAGTGAAGTTGAATATCACAAGCATATAGATGTTGTTGGATCTCTTCGTTTGTAACAACTCACAAAACGCAAGAAACTCAATAGGGTGGTTTAGACAAATCATTAGTAATCTAGCTGCAGATTGGTCATGTGTATGCATGAGTGGTACTTACCTATTAGTACTTTTTGTTAAGTCTCTATGCAGGCAAGTGTCATGCTACGCCCACTACCCTTATACTTATTGCGTTATAACTGAACCATTCTGACCAGTGCTGGATTTATACTTGGTGAGCAATATAAAGATATATGAGCCATATGAGCTATACCAAGCACCGAGGCCTCTCGTTAAAAACATACCCCAGAAGGTCTTACTAAAGTGCATACCAAAATAGGATCTTGGGTCGCCACCAACAAAATGAAAACATATAAATGCCTTTAATTATTTAATAGCAAGGTTATTTAAAGTAAAAAAATGCAAATTATTTTCAAATGAATACATTTACTGATTGCATATTTATTATTTCGCTGACATTTTTGAGGCTCCTGCGGATTGTGAGGCTCTAAGCTGTACCTTGTTTAGCTTATGCCAAAATCCGCCACTGATTCTGACGGTCGAATTCTTTGTCGAATTTGGCCTGAAAGTTGTGACTGAAAGCGGTTTCCAGAACTTCTTTCTGTGCATTCTGCTTGTACAGGTTAGGCGTAGTTACTTACATTTCCTACTTTTCTCACTTTGAAGAAGCTTTCCTTGTCCTACTTGGCAATTCCTCTCGTGTACTCACCTAGGTGTGTTTGCGGGGGTTGAGCTCTGTCTCTTTGGTCCCGCCTCTCAACTGTCAATCAACTGGGACGCAAAACGTGTGTGTGTATACTCATATTTGTGCCTGCAGGATCGAGCATTAGCTCTTGGGACCCCGCCTTTCCATCAGCCGGTTGTCTAAAGCAATGACTCTTGGTCTATTTGCCCTATCATTTCTTCTTTTACAATTATAAATGGAGCTTGTGTGTACAACCTGTTCCTTTAGCTCATCCCATTTTCCCACTACTCTTAGGCAAAATAAAAACTTTCTAACATCTTTATGACTCATTTGAGCCTAAGTTTCCACTCATGATCCTTTTGTGCCTCGGAGAAGCTACGGGATCCAGTAAGTTCAGTAGAACTTCGGTTTCAACCCTTTTAACCCTGTCGTAGCTCAGTCGATTAAGGCAGTGTCTGGGATGCTCCCGGACGCAGGTTCGAATCCTCGTCACGGCCCTTGTGGATTTGTTCATCCCTTTGTACTATTGGTATTCATCGTGATCATTTCATCTATTTCCACTCTGCCAATCTCTCCAAGTATTTCATCAAGTCCGCCCCCCTCTCTCTTTCTCTCTCCCTCTCTCTCCTTTTTTATATCGTCGTCAGGTTTAGTTCTTTCAGTTTCTCTTCATATGTGTGTGTGTGGTATACAAACTCACCTAGATGTGCTTGCAGTATCAACCATCTACTCTTAAGTACTTCATTTCGACTATCAGTTGGTAAACATATTAATGACGAACAGGGTACAAAGACAATGGCATAAAGGTATACTATACGAACATTAGGAGCCCGCCACACTTGTTCTTACTGTCTCCCACCTGTTCTTGCTGCCTCTCACCTGTTCTTACTGCCTCTCACCGCCCTCTCACCTGTTCTTGCTGCCTCTCACCTGTTCTTGCTGCCTCTCACCTGTTCTTACTGCCTCTCACCGCCCTCTCACCTGTTCTTGCTGCCTCTCACCTGTTCTTGCTGCCTCTCACCTGTTCTTACTGCCTCTCACCGCCCTCTCACCTGTTCTTGCTGCCTCTCACCTGTTCTTGCTGCCTCTCACCTGTTCTTACTGCCTCTCACCTGTTCTTGCTGCCTCTCACCTGTTCTTGCTGTCTCTCACCTGTTTTTGCTGCCTCTCACCTGTTCTTGCTGCCTCTCACCTGTTTTTGCTGCCTCTCACCTGTTCTTGCTGCCTCTCACCTGTTTTTGCTGCCTCTCACCTGTTCTTGCTGCCTCTCACCTGTTCTTCCTGCCTCTCACCTGTTCTTGATGCCTCTCACCTGTTCTTACTGCCTCTCACCTGTTCTTACTGCCTCTCACCTGTTCTTGCTGCCTCTCACCTGTTCTTACTGCCTCTCACCTGTTCTTACTGCCTCTCACCTGTTCTTACTGCCTCTCATCTGTTCTTACTGCCTCTCACCTGTTCTTACTGCCTCTCACCTGTTCTTGATGCCTCTCACCTGTTCTTGCTGCCTCTCACCTGTTCTTGCTGCCTCTCACCTGTTCTTCCTGCCTCTCACCTGTTCTTGCTGCCTCTCACCTGTTTTTGCTGCCTCTCACCTGTTCTTACTGCCTCTCACCTGTTCTTGATGCCTCTCACCTGTTCTTACTGCCTCTCACCTGTTCTTACTGCCTCTCACCTGTTCTTGATGCCTCTCACCTGTTCTTACTGCCTCTCACCTGTTCTTACTGCCTCTCACCTGTTCTTACTGCCTCTCACCTGTTCTTACTGCCTCTCACCTGTTCTTACTGCCTCTCACCTGTTCTTACTGCCTCTCACCTGTTCTTGATGCCTCTCACCTGTTCTTGCTGCCTCTCACCTGTTCTTGCTGCCTCTCACCTGTTCTTCCTGCCTCTCACCTGTTCTTGCTGCCTCTCACCTGTTTTTTGCTGCCTCTCACCTGTTCTTACTGCCTCTCACCTGTTCTTGATGCCTCTCACCTGTTCTTACTGCCTCTCACCTGTTCTTACTGCCTCTCACCTGTTCTTACTGCCTCTCACCTGTTCTTACTGCCTCTCACCTGTTCTTACTGCCTCTCACCTGTTCTTGATGCCTCTCACCTGTTCTTGCTGCCTCTCACCTGTTCTTACTGCCTCTCACCTGTTCTTGATGCCTCTCACCTGTTCTTGCTGCCTCTCACCTGTTCTTGCTGCCTCTCACCTGTTCTTACTGCCTCTCACCTGTTCTTGCTGCCTCTCACCTGTTCTTCCTGCCTCTCACCTGTTCTTGATGCCTCTCACCTGTTCTTACTGCCTCTCACCTGTTCTTACTGCCTCTCACCTGTTCTTACTGCCTCTCACCTGTTCTTGATGCCTCTCACCTGTTCTTGCTGCCTCTCACCTGTTCTTGCTGCCTCTCACCTGTTCTTACTGCCTCTCACCTGTTCTTGCTGCCTCTCACCTGTTCTTCCTGCCTCTCACCTGTTCTTGATGCCTCTCACCTGTTCTTACTGCCTCTCACCTGTTCTTACTGCCTCTCACCTGTTCTTACTGCCTCTCACCTGTTCTTGATGCCTCTCACCTGTTCTTGCTGCCTCTCACCTGTTCTTGCTGCCTCTCACCTGTTCTTACTGCCTCTCACCTGTTACGCTTCCTCATACTCTCGGCGTGCGGAGACCTGATGTACTCCTCAACAATCTGCTTCCACCGCCTGCGACACAGCCATCCTCTGAAGAAGCTCTGGACCTTCTTGATCTTCTTGATCTCCTCGGAGTCCTCCGGCAGGTCCTCTAGCCTCCGTGAGGGCACCACCCGCCACTCCTTCTTCAGCGTACACAGCTGCCAAACCAACGCACATGGAGTCATCTCAGAATACATACATTGGCTAGAAGAGATGTGTAAGTTGTTGCTACATATATAAATACGTTTCATGTCATAAGGGACTCTTACGGGCTATTCATGCCCGTGCCACCTCCTGGGTGGCTTAATCTTCATCAATCATAAGGGACTGAATAAATATTGACTTTGTTGTTAATCTGAAGGTTAAAAAGGAATTATGATTGAATTTTTAGACACAGACCAAAATTCTTGAGGCTACTCAAGAATTAGGGTCCTGGAAATTTGAGTGAAGCTATAGATTATGGGGCAAAATATTATTACGATTTGCTAAGCAGTAAATTGAAACTAGAAAGTTCGGAAATAGATGAAAGAAGTAATCTCTTTCACGAAATGTCTTCGTGAGCTATTAAGAAAGTAATTAGTCGTTAACGTGAAATAAGCAAACATTGTTTTGGTCTAATTCAAATAGCATTAAAATATGTGGGGTTTTAACGTTAAAGAAAAGGGGAATGTTAATCATAGACTTTCTAAGTCTCAACTAAGCAATGGAGAAGTCTGAGGAAAACTGACCTCAGCACAAGAGTGGAGAGGAGAGAGGCGCCATTAGAGGCCGAGGAAGACTGACCTCAGCACCAAAGAGGAGCCAAAGAGGCCGAGGGTGAGTGACCTCAGCACCAGAGAGGAGGGAGAGAGAGGCTCGACAAGAGGCCGAGGGTGACTGACCTCAGCACGAAGCTTCTTGATCTCTGAGGTGAGTTCCTCGCACTGCTGAGTATACTGCCACTTGGCAGTCTTCTCACTCTCCACGATCTGCAGGAGGTGCAAGTGCTTCTGCTCCAGCTCCTCCTTCTGCAACAACAGCTTGTTGAACGACGCCTGTCTAATCACATCTATCCAAGCCTTGCAATCTCCCTCCGTCTCCGCTTTCAGGTCGTACTGACGCTGGTTCTCCCGGCGGTACGTTATCGCGAAGCAGAACTGTTATCACCCAGAATAAAAAAGCAATTACCCGGAGAAATCGCCAAAACTATATACATATATAATTTATAATGTATACGATGGGACACGATATATCAGGACGGAGAGGGAGAAGCCGCGGTCCATCCGCTTGTGTCATCGAGGAATCGAACTCTGGGACTCGTTGCTCACCTGCTTGTCGGCGTCCTTGTTCTTAGTGTTGGTGTTGGTGGTGATGAGCCGCTCACAGTAGCAGCCCTCCAGCATGATCACTCCGGACGGCTTCACACTAGACTCACCCTCAGAGTAAAACAGTAAGTTCTGCAAAGTGAGAAGAACAGTGTGTCATGTGTCAGGAATAGTGTGGCATGTATCAGGGAGGGAACAGTGTGGTATGTGTCAGGGAGGGAATAGTGTGGTATGTGTCAGGGAGGGAATAATGTGGGATGTGTCAGGGAGGGATAGTGTGGTATGTGTCAGGGAGGGAATAGTGTGGTATGTGTCAGGGAGGGAATAGTGTGGGATGTGTCAGGGAGGGAATAGTGTGGTATGTGTCAGGGAGGGAATAGTGTGGGATGTGTCAGGGAGGGATAGTGTGGTATGTGTCAGGAAGGGAATAGTGTGGGGTGTGTCAGGGAGGAATAGTGTGGCATGTGTCAGGGAGGAATAGTGTCATATATCAGGGAGGAACAGTGTGTCATATATCAGGGAAGAACAGTGTGTCATATATCAGGGAGGAACAGTGTGTCATATATCAGGGAGGAACAGTGTGTCATATATCAGGGAGGGAACAGTGTGTCATATATCAGGGAGGAACAGTGTGTCATATATCAGGGAGGAACAGTGTGTCATATATCAGGGAGGGAACAGTGTGTCATATATCAGGGAGGAACAGTGTGTCATATATCAGGGAGGAACAGTGTGTCATATATCAGGGAGGAACAGTGTGTCATATATCAGGGAGGAACAGTGTGTCATATATCAGGGAAGAACAGTGTGGCATATATCAGGGAGGAACAGTGTGTCATATATCAGGGAGGGAACAGTGTGTCATATATCAGGGAGGAACAGTGTGTCATATATCAGGGAAGAACAGTGTGGCATATATCAGGGAGGGAACAGTGTGTCATATATCAGGGAGGAACAGTGTGTCATATATCAGGGAGGAACAGTGTGTCATATATCAGGGAAGAACAGTGTGTCATATATCAGGGAGGAACAGTGTGTCATATATCAGGGAGGAACAGTGTGTCATATATCAGGGAAGAACAGTGTGGCATATATCAGGGAGGAACAGTGTGTCATATATCAGGGAGGAACAGTGTGTCATATATCAGGGAGGAACAGTGTGTCATATATCAGGGAAGAACAGTGTGGCATATATCAGGGAGGAACAGTGTGTCATATATCAGGGAGGAACAGTGTGTCATATATCAGGGAGGGAACAGTGTGTCATATATCAGGGAGGAACAGTGTGTCATATATCAGGGAGGGAACAGTGTGTCATATATCAGGGAGGAACAGTGTGTCATATATCAGGGAAGAACAGTGTGGCATATATCAGGGAGGGAACAGTGTGTCATATATCAGGGAGGAACAGTGTGGCATATATCAGGGAGGAACAGTGTGTCATATATCAGGGAGGAACAGTGTGTCATATATCAGGGAAGAACAGTGTGTCATATATCAGGGAGGGAACAGTGTGTCATATATCAGGGAGGGAACAGTGTGTCATTTATCAGGGAGGAACAGTGTGTCATATATCAGGGAGGGAACAGTGTGTCATATATCAGGGAGGGAACAGTGTGTCATATATCAGGGAGGGAACAGTGTGTCATTTATCAGGGAGGAACAGTGTGTCATATATCAGGGAAGGACAGTGTGGCATATATCAGGGAGGAACAGTGTGTCATATATCAGGGAGGGAACAGTGTGTCATATATCAGGGAGGGAACAGTGTGTCATATATCAGGGAAGAACAACATGTTACATCAAGTAAGTTCTTGTTATATTATTGAAGAACATTGTGCCATATTAGGGGTGTTTTCTCGCTAAATCATGGCCGTGGTGCTTGAATGTACTCACCTAATTGTCCTTGCGGGAGTTGAGCTCTGGCTCTTTCGGCTCGTCTCTCAACGGGCAATCATTTTTTGTTATTTCACACACACGCGCGGGCGCGCGCACACACACACACACACACACACACACACACACACACACACACACACACACACACACACACACACACACACACACACACACACACACACACATATGAGATGGTCAGAGAAATGGCTACTGGAGTTCAACACTAGCAAATGTAAAGTTATGGAAATGGGACTAGGTGATAGGAGACCAAAGGGACAGTACACAATGAAGGGGAACAGCCTACCTGTAACGATGCGTGAAAGAGACCTGTGGGTGGACGTAACACCTAATCTATCTCCTGAAGCACATATAAATAGGATAACGACAGCAGCGTACTCTACACTGGCAAAAGTGAGAACATCATTCAGAAACCTAAGTAAGGAGGCATTTAGGGTGTTTTACACTGCCTATGTGAGGCCAGTCATAGAGTATGCCGCACCATCATGGAGTCCCCATCTGAAGAAGCATATAAGGAAACTGGAAAAGTTTCAGAGGTTTGAGCTACGAGGGATGGGGTATGAGGAGCACCTGAAGGAACTGTGCCTTACAACACTAGAAAAAGAAGGGAGAGGGGGAGACATGATAGGAACGTATAAAATACTCAGGGGGATTGACATAGTGGACATAGATGAAATGTTCACACGGAATAGTAACAGAACGAGGGGACATGGGTGGAAGCTGGAAACTCAGATGAGTCACAGGGATGTTAGGAAGTTTTCTTTTAGCGTGAGAGTAGTGGGAAAATGGAATGCACTTAAGGAACAGGTTGTGGAAGCAAATACTATTCATAATTTTAAGACCAGGTATGATAGGAAAATAGGACCGGAGTCATTGCTGTAAACAACCGATGCTCGAAAGGTGGGATCCAAGAGTCAATGATCGATCCTGCAGACACAAATAGGTGAGTACAAATATGTAAGTACACACACACACACACACACACACACACACACACACACACACACACACACACACACACACACACACAATTAGGTGAGTACACACACACACACAATCAGCGAGCCTCGACCTAGTCTTCACTCTGAACGACTCCGACATAAGGGAAATCGGTTTCGAGGCCCCAGTAGGAAAGAGCGACCACAGTACACTGGTGTTAGAGTTTCTGGTTGAGGAAGGGTTATTGATCTCGAAGAAGGGTACTGAAAACAAAAGGCTGGCATTCCGTAAGGGAAACTATGAGGAGATAAGAAGATTCCTAACAGATATAGCATGGGAAACAGAGCTCAGGGAAAAGACGGCCCAAGACATGATGGACTACATCACGGAGAAGTGCAAGGACGCAGTAAACAAGTTTGTCCCAGTCCAAAAGGAAAATAGTGAAATGAAGATGAGAAACCCATGGTTTAATCAGAGATGTAGGATAGCTAAGCAGCAAAGTATAAGGGCATGGAGAAACTATAGGAATAACAGGACACTTGAGAGCAGAGAAAGATACCAGAGTGTCAGGAATGAATATGTCAGGATGAGAAGAGAGGCAGAAAGACAATACGAAAATGACATCGCAAGCAAGGCAAAGACTCAACCTAAACTGCTGCATAGCCACATCAGGAGAAAAACAACAGTAAAGGAAAAGGTAATGAAAATAAGGATAGGGGCAGAAGGATTCACTACAAACGACAAGGAAGTGTGTGAGGAACTGAATAAGAAATTCCAAGAGGTCTTCACCTTAGAGCAAGGAGAAATCCCAGAGATAAGAGAGGGAATAGCTAACCAGGAACCACTGGAAGAGTTTGAGATTACCAGCGGGGAAGTAAGGAAGTGTTTACTAGAATTGGATGTGACAAAGGCTATAGGCCCAGATGGAATCTTCCCTTGGATACTAAAGGAAGGAGCAGAAGAACTGTGCCTGCCACTCTCCATGGTGTATAACAAATCACTGACAACAGGGGAACTGCCAGAAATTTGGAAAGCAGCTAATGTAGTCCCGATATATAAGAAAGGAGGTAGACAGGAGGCACTGAACTATAGGCCAGTGTCCCTAACTTGCATACCATGCAAGTTGATGGAGACGATTGTGCGAAGAAAGCTAGTGGAGCATCTGGAGTGATGGAACTTTTGTAACACAACATCAACATGGGTTCAGGGATGGCAAGTCCTGCCTCACAGGGTTAACTGAATTCTACGACCAGGCAAGAAAGAGAGGGATGGGCAGACTGCATATTTTTGGATTGTCAGAAAGCCTTTGACACAGTACCACACAAGAGGCTAGTGAAAAAGCTGGAGATGCAGGCTGGAGTGAAAGGGAAGGTACTCCGTTGGATACAGGAGATCCTAAGTAACAGGAGACAACGAGTCAGTGTGAGGGGTGAGGTCTCAGATTGGCGAGACGTTACGAGTGGAGTACCGCAGGGGTCGGTCCTTGGACCTATACTGTTTCTGATATATGTAAATGATCTTCCAGAGGGTATAGACTCGTTTCTCTCAATGTTTACTGATGACGCAAAAATTATGAGGAGGATTGAAACTGAGGACGATAGTAGGAGGCTACAAGATGACCTGGACAGATTGAATGAATGGTCCAACAAATGGCTGCTAAAGTAATGAAACTAGGCGGCGGAAACAGAAGGCCAGACACAGGATACAGAATGGGAAATGAAGTACTTCATGAAACGGACAGAGAGTATGTTCTAGGAGTTGATATCACACCAAACCTGTCTCCTGAAGCCTACATAAAACGAATTACGCCTGCGGCATATGCGAGGCTGGCTAACACCAGAACTGCCTTCAGGAACCTGTGTAAGGAATCATTCAGAATCTTGTACACCGCATAAGTAAGACCAATCCTGGAGTATGCAGCCCCAGCATGGAGCCCGTACATTGTCAAGCACAAGACGAAGCTGGAAAAAAGTTCAGAGGTATGCCACTAGACTAGTCCCGGAGCTAAGAGGCATGAGTTACGAGGAAAGGCTGCGAGAGATGCACCTTACGACACTAAAAGACAGAAGAGTAAGGGGAGACATGATCACTACCTACAAAATCCTCAGGGGTATTGACAGGGTAGACAAGGATAAACTATTCAACACTGGTGGTACGCGAACAAGGGGACACAGGTGGAAACTGAGTACCTAAATGAGCCACAGAGACGTTAGAAAGAACTTTTTCAGTGTCAGAGTAGTTAACGGATGGAATGCATTAGGCAGTGATGTGGTGGA